AAAAAAAAAAAAAAAAAAAAAAAAAAAAAAAAAAAAAAAAAAAAGTGAAACTAGAAAATTTATACAACAGCCATAGAAGAAGGCATTGCAATATTGCACCAATATCCTAAGAGCTGGCAAGTTCTGCCAGTGTAGAACTAGTCTGTATCAGATATAGACTCTACTCAGGAGAAAATGGCATCCATGTGAATGATCCACTCCCTGGTTATTCTTGCTTAATCTTGTTCTTCCTTCTGAGTTTAAAGAGTTGAAAGGTGCGCGGCTAATCCCAAAACACTTACTATAAATGCTTTTAAACAGTTATTCTTGATCTGTTCTGAACTTTGAGGTTACATCCTTCATGCTAGTAGCTTTCAGTAAATAAAACAAAGGCTGGGGGCTCACATCCCCGGTGCCACTAAGTATTCTGTACTAAATAAAGAAGTAGATATGACCAGTAAGATTATAATTCTGTTTCTTACCTCTACATCAAAAATGAGCTCAAATTTTCCACGAGTTGCTACTTTCCATTCAATAACAGACGCAGCAGCCTTACTGAGTGTAAAGAATGGGAGTTGCACTTACTTTTAAGGGGCCTCTATTTAGGAGTCTGGTATGACCTAAATGCTCTTTAAAAGTGCTTGCACGCCGCAAGGCCCGGGCTGCATCTACCACTCCGATTCTCACTAAAAACAGGGTAACGTTAAACAGACTGCAAAGAAAAACATTTTCAAAAAGAAGACATACATTGAATAAGGAACACTAACGTTTACTTTTGAAAAGAAAATATAAAATGTTAGTTTTCAGAAATCCATACATGTTTCAGGAATACACAGAGTTCCAATATTACTGAATCAGTATGGACTGAAGATAGACTACTTTGATACCAATGAGGACTCCAGTTATTTTAACTTTCTAAAAATGTTAATACACGAAAAGACGTTACATCTAAAATTCAACAAGTATGGCAAACCGTGTGTGCAAGTGCACTAGCTTAAAAATATAGAATCCTAACCACGCATAAAAGGAGATGTGCCTTATATGTTCGTAAGATGTATGCAAGTATGGATATGCTTTCACTAACACAATGCAGATAAGAGAAGGCAGCTTAGAAATAGTGTTTTGAATATAAAAAAGTTAATTTTGTAGAAAATTTATATTTTTGCATTTTCAGCAAAAAGCCATGCAAAAAGGTCAAGAGTTTTAAACTTAAATTATAAAACCAAAAGGTCTAACAGACTGTAATACACTGAAACGTTCCAAAAGATTTCAGATCGAGATAGGAACCGAAATTACATCCAGTGACACTTATCAGGTCTTCTCTTAGAAGATGCAGGACTCCTACGCTGACATCTGAAAGAAATGTTTAAAGCATAAAATCAAACTTCCCAGATAAGTGGATCACTCTATTAAACTGCTTCTGGAAGTAGTTTCAAGAGCTAGCGCTTAGAATGAACTTATTGCATGAGTTTGAGGCCACTAAAAAGGGAAAAAAAAAAACAGATGCTAGCACAGAATGAAAAATTTTTTACGATATTAGACCAATGGCTTTGATAGTAAAACTGGTGAGGTTTTTCTTTACTTTTTTTAATTAACTACTTTGTCACAAACAAATCTTTCGTTTGGCTTTTTTTAAAGGGAGAAAGATGTCATTAGTTGCAACGCCTGACCTCGTCCAGTATGTATTCCGGGAAGTGCAGGTTGCACACTTGTAAACCATCCAGCTTGCAGGGCATCCGCGGGTACTCATCTTCCTTCCACTTGTTTTCTTCTGGATCAAAAGTAAGGATGGAATCGCTGTAATGACCGTTGTAGCAAAGGCCTCCGAGAACCATTATTTGTTTGTCCAGCACAGTCACACCGTGGCCACTTCTGCCAATTGGCATGGACGCCAAGATGGTCCACTGATCAGTCTCGGGGTTGTACACTTCTGTGGAAGGGCATCCCTGAGACTCAAAAGAGGCCCTCAAGATCACACAGACACCACCGAAGACATAAAGCTTGCCGTTGTAAGAAATCATCTTGTGAAAGCATCTTGCGTAATTCATTTTGCTCTTATTCTCCCAACAGTTGGTAACCACTTGCGTTCTTCTGGTCCGCTGTTCTATGGTCCCTTCTTTACTGGGGTCGAACACGCACACTTGTTTGGAGGTGGAAGATGAGGTGATTCCACCGGTGATAAACAACTTGTTGTTGAGCACTGTCCCTTCATGTCCATATTTGTTAACTGGATAAGGATCCACGAATTCCCATTTATCATTGGTGATGTCGTATCTCTCGGTTGAATAGAAAGTCTCATCTCTGGTTCTGCCAGCTACGGCGTAAATAAACTTCCCAATAACACCAACTGCAAACTCTGAACGTGGCACTGACATGTCTGCCATCCGGAGCCAAGAGTTCTGCCTCGGGTCATACCTGAACACTTTGGAAGAAGCATGGAATTCGCCATCTGGGCCTAGTTCTTCCCCGCCCAACAAGAACACGAAGTTATTGACAATAGCAAGGCAGTCTGGGCGCAGAGGAACCTGCGGGCCCTCCAGCTCCCACCAGACTCTTGGTTTCTTTAAGAGAAGGATTTTACTGTTAACCATGCTATGTCCAATCATTCCTCGGAATACTGTAGTTTGGGGTTTGGCAGAGCGGATACGGCTGGATTTCATGTCCAACAAAGGCTGCTGGTGAACGTTCTGAAAGTAATTCAATGCTTGGTCAACTTCATAGCGCAGCTGTCGGGAGTATCTATAAAATTCGGATGTCTTAACCTAAGAATACAAGTAAAATAATTTAACCAAAAGAAAGAACATCAATGGCAAAAAAAAAAAAAATATATATCAAAGCCAACTAAGGAGACTAGTGTATGATCTGAGGCTTGCTGTACTAAAACTGCTTTTCCTGTTAAGATCACATACTTTTTTTAAACAAAGCTATTATATATTTGTTTTTATAATAATCTATGCACAGTCCCAAGCCTTTGAAAGTAAACAAGCTATTTTCCAGGCACAAGCTAAATTCCTCTAGCAAAATGTACTAATCATCTATTCTATGTCAGGCCCTGGGATATAAGTGGTGATTATGAGGACAAACAGAGGTTTCACAGTAGAGGGAGTCAGGGCCATGGTTTCCTTAACCACAAGGAACACTGTAAGAGTAACCATGACTGAATAACTTGGGCAATCAAGTTAGTGAGTTAGTAAAAATTTGAAAAGATGCAAAATTCTCAGTAGGTTTTTGCTATCAAGACTTGGTCGGGTATCAGCAACTCCTACAATCATCAAGCAGGTGGCAAGGTCCAATTTTTTCCTTTTTGTTTTTGGAGTTGGAACTACCTCATTGTGATGGTGTTTTTTTTAAACCAAGATCTTATGAAGCACTTTTAAGTACTGTGCTAAGTTCCACAGGGAGACAAAAAGGTTAAGTATAAGATGGGGTCTGTTTCCTCAAAGAACTTCAAATATGTTTGGGGAAATGCAGACAGACACAGATTTGCCAACAAGCGAACAAGATGGCTGACGGCTGGGAACGAGAGCGCACAGCCCATCTCTGAGTGCTGCCGATGTGAAGACAGACCAAACCGGCCCCAAACACGGGCTGCCTTGTGGAAGAGGCAGGAAGCTGGACAACCATGAAGAAAAAGCCTGTGTCATAATGACAAGGGTGAAGTGAGAGTCTCCCATGTCGACGGGAAAACCAGATACTGAGAGAGAAAACAGGCACAAGCGCGTGACTGACGTGAAGTAGGGATAGGTTACAAAAGCGAGGACTCCAACTGATCTGAGAACTTAGACTTGAGGTGCTCTGGAGAGTGCTGTCACTAAGGGACACGGGAGAGGCATTCCACTTCACTGGTGATCCATCGGAACTGCTGGGAGGACGCGGACAGGGCAAGGTCCAGGCACCCGTGGGGATCCAGGGTGACTGCTTGGGAGGGAGCCGGCACCAGGCATTTACTTAGGAGCTTCCTTTTCCTACCTCTGCCCTTTTTCCTCCCTTTCCCCTATATTTCTCTCTCTTTTTTAAAAGATTTTATTTATTTAGTTGACAGAGATCACAAGTAGGCAGAGAGGCAGGTAGAGAGAGAGAGAGAGAGAGAGGAGGGAGCAGGCTCCCCGCTGAGCAGAGAGCCCGATGCGGGGCTCGATCCCAGGACCCTGGGATCATGACCCAAGCCGAAGGCAGAGGCTTTAACCCACTGAGCCACCCAGGCGCCCCTTCCCTATCTTTCTCATTCATTCTCCACCTCGGTCCAAAGAAAGTCTGAAACAGAAAGGACCACAAATGTGTTTTAAGTATTTTGGTAACTGTCTTTCAATATAATTGGATTCCTTTGTAATCCCAAGCACTGAACTTTATGGATTTAATATCATTATTCTGAGAAGGGGTCCTTCCGTGGGTTTCAACAGGCTAGCAAAAGGGTAAACAGCACAAAAAAAGGTTGAGAATTCCTTGTCTTACTGCGTAAAAGAGACAAAATGGATATCAATACTTCACTGTGGCTTTACATATAATATCTCAAGTTATATTATTCCTCCCTTAAGAGAGTAACAATCATCACTATTTTCCTGAAAAAATAAGGATCAATTAGAAGATGAAAAAACTGAGGCGCAGACCCTTAAGTGACTTGTCCAAATTGTTTACATAACTAAAACTGATAGAGCTGGGATCTGAAACTTGCACAAGGACAGTCTTGCTCCAAAGCTATTTCCAATAGGTTACTGCACAGCTTCCACTACTCATTAGAAAACTCTTTAAATGACAAACTCATTTATTAAAACACTTAACATACATGTTCAACAAGTTATCCTAATGACCTTTCTCAAAGAAAAGATAGTATAATGGTTCTTGAAACAAAAAATCAATTGCGTGGATCACAATGACTGGACATCCAACCCCACTCTTCCTAGCAAAACACCTAATGTAGAAGAGATCAAATAATGAATGGTAAAGAAGTAATTTCAATAAACAGTCTAATAATAAAAAATATAGATCTGAAGTCTCATCCTCTACTTTTGCTTCACATATAAAAACGTACAGAACAAAGGAAATGAAGTGAGCTTCAATCACTTATGAGAAACAATGGAAACCTGTATCACCATCATCACCGAGTGTTTATTAACATGGAACGATGTTCACAACAGATTCAGTTTTTTAAAAAAGCAATTGTACACTGGTAGCTCAATTGAATAAGATTTTGTGTATGCCTGCTTGCGTTAATAATGATCATCTCTGAAACTTCACAAACATCTCTGCATTCTTTTTTATGTATCATATTTATAAACAAAAAGAGTCTTGCCATTTAAAAACTGGGTCTCTTAAAACCATCAAATACATATTTGCTTAGGAAAAACTAGCATCTTTTTGTCTTTCCATTTCTTCTATGAATTGCCTAATGGTGTACCTCACCCATTTTTCCTTTTTGTTAATTGCAAGAGCTAAAAGGCAATACCCTGGAAATCAACAAGAAACATAAACCTCAAATTAAATATTTAAGTGCCTACTGTGCACAGCCAGTGGCCTGAGAGCTACACAGGTTTTGAAGTAACAGAATCCTGTCCAGCACTGTAATTAAGCACCACATCAAGCTGCCCAGGACAGCCGATTAAGAATCCAGTAGAGAAAATATCCGACCTTGGCACTCAGGAGTTGTGGGATCTTGGGCAAGTAACTCAACATCCTTATAGCCATTTCCTCATCTGTATTACTGGGAAAACAATACTAGTACCTATGGCTCATAACCCTAAGGCAGGAGACAAGCAAGATCATCTGTGTGAAAAGGAGACTATGGTGCCTGTCATGTGGCAATGTACAACAAACAGCCATTCTTAGCTACCATCACTGACCAGCAGACATCTGTAAAAGTGTCAGCTTAAGTCAGTGCATCTGATGATGTACTTTTGGTCTGCATAAAAATTCAGTCATTCCAAAGTAATAGGAGAAAGGAGAAAAACTGTTACTCTGGACCTAATTCTCCCCAATAAAACATGATTGGTAAGATGCAAGGAGGAGGAAGCTTTACAGAAAGCAGCCATGTCATTTGGAAATCGAGAAGGGAAGGGGAATGTTGCACATATTGGATAGGCAGATTTCAAGTTTTTTAAAGGAAAATTAGGATCAATTCCAAGATCGGAAATTGTGTAAAGAAGCTCAAGAAGGCTTGGAGGCTCTCAAAAGCATAATGCTGACTGCATAATTGCAAAACACACTGATGAGGGGAAGAAAAGGGGAAAGTATCTAAAAAATCTGATGTGCTGCACAGAGAACTTTCTGGAATTCAGATGTTAAAAAACCACTTACAACAGATGGTTAAAAAAAAAAAACACAAAAAACAAGTATTACAAAGGGTGAAATGGAGCTGTAAGCATATTGTGAACGAGGCTAAAGCCTCAGGATGAACTGTGACTTTACAAAGCCCCAGATAATGAATAAACGGCGTCTTAGAGGTTAGAGTAAAAAGAAGTAGAGGCAAAAGGGAAGCTCCTCCTGGATGGGGTGGTTAATGTAATAGTAACAAAGACAAATAGCCTTCTCCTATTTTATTTCCATTCTTGGCTAAGGATGTTTTCTTCTAATCTGAAGATCAAACACAATGACTAAGAAGAAACTTAAATCCAAGATGGCTGAGAAAAAAAAAAAAGAAAAACTAGATATTCTCATTAAATTCAAGTCATTTGATCTCAAAATCACATTCTGGGATCCTGAGAGGCTTCACAGATAAGGCTGCTTAATTGCTTTTCGTAATCTGTGTGGAATCATGAATGGGAAAGTACTAGAAGCCATACTTCCAAACTACAGACTGGTTAGCCTGAGGCTGATCTGTATTGTTAAAAAAACACCACTTGCGATAAGAAAGCGCTACACGCTGGGAGGCAGCATGGATTCACCCAGCAATGCCAATCCTTGACCACTTTCAGTTGAATGAGGATGTAACAGAACTGGCAGAGAATGAGAGAACCTATGAATTTGGCAAAGTAATCAACAAGTCCAATGATAAAGAGAAACACCAGGGACCCATGAACCACATAAAACTGCAGAAATACCTGTGTTAATGCATTCGGGGAGCGGGGGATGGGGGCACAGTAAAGTGAGAGGGTGGGAAGTCCACAGCTTTTTGTCAAATACCCCAGGGATCCATAAACTCCAATGGAAAGCTGTAAATGACTACCCTCAATACAGACTAACAATGCGATAGGGCAGAAGAAAATCATGGACTGAATTAAAACAGACAATCCTACCCTCTCCATTTGGTGAAACCACAGCTAAGAGGGCTGAGTTCCATCACTACAATTTAGACATCATAAAGCGGACCACATCCTGGACAGCAAAGGGATCCAAACCATACGAAAAAATGGTAAAACTGACAAGGAATGTTTAAACTCAAGAGAAAACTCGGGAGAAAGATGGCAACCGTTTTCGGGACCGTCAGTGGAAGTTAGAAGGAAGATTTTTGGGCCAGCATAGGGAGAAGCTTTGTAATTAGAACTGTCAAGATAATGGATGTTCATCACATTATTTTAGGAGCACAGAAACCAGGACAACTCAAATATCTCACAAATAAGACACTGGTTGGCTGAACTTCGTATGCAGTCTTTACCATATGCAGTCATTAAAAAGGAGGAGGTTAATCCACACGCATGAACACAGCCGTTCAAATGTCAAGTGATAAAAACTGCAGAAGAGTATAACATTCTCAAAAAATAAAAATGGACCCTTTTACACAGCTGGCAGTATATTCAGAGGAAAACATATGTATACACATACAACATAC